ACTTTTAACCACAGCTTCATAAAAAGCTTTAACACTTATTTATCCAACAGGGGATTAGCCTTACTTCTAAAGAAAAATCCTCTAAAAAAGATGATCACTCTAAAAAGTGATCATTCTCCTGTCAGTAATTTATGTAAAAGTGAATACAATAAATTCTAATTTCACAGAGGACTAAAACAAAATTCACATAGAAGATAAAATTTTGCACAGTATGAGAAATTACCTTTTCAATAAAGAAAAAATATACAAGAAGCACTTAGGTGGTTAAGCATCTGGCTTTAGCTCAGGTCACTATCTCATGGTTCGTGAGTTTGAGCCCCACATCAGGTCTATGCTGACAGCTCAGAGCCTGGAGCCTGCTCTGGATTTGGTGTCTCCCCTTCTCTGTCCCTCCGCTGCTCATGCTCGGTCTCTCTCTTTCTCTCAAAAATAAACAAACGTTAAAAAAAACTTAAAAAGGGGCACCTGGGTGGCTTAGTCGGTTAAACGTCCGACTTTCGCTTAGGTCATGATCTCGCGGTTCGTGGGTTCAGGCCCCGCATCGGGCTCTGTGCTGACTGCCAGCTCAGAGCCTGGAGCCTGTTTCAGTCTGTGACTCCCTCTCTCTCTGACCCTCCCCTGCTCCCGCTGTCTGTCTCTCTCCTAGAAAAAAAAAAAAAAAAAAAATTAAAAAAAATATACAAAATCCCCAGAAAATAATTTTATTTTTTAAGAGTATTTTATGAAAAACTTCACTTTGCTTAAAATGATCATTACAAATATTCATATTAATCCTATTTAATATCAAAACTGACATCTGATTTTTATTAGGCTATATACAAATATCAATAATGAAGAATCACCTACTATTTTTACAATTATTTCTATTGTATATTATAAACTCAAAGATAGAGCTATTCAGAATTTCCAATAATACATTTAAAAACTTTAAATATATATTTCTCTAAGTATCAATACTGGCAAACAAAAACTGGTCAAATTTTTCCACTGAAAGGAACCAGAGTTAGGGCACCTGGGTGGCTCAGTCGTAAGCGTCCAACTTCAGCTTAGATCATGATCTCAGAAATAAATTAAAAAAAACAAATTTTTTTAAATAGAAGGAAAGAGTAATTAATTTTTAACAATGAATTATGCTCATCTCTAAATTACTAGCTCCCTAAATTGTTAATCAACTCCCCCATTAATCTATTTTATAGACAGCATTTTGAAGCCTGTATCTAAGTAACTTAAACAATAATCACGACGGGCGCCTGGGTGGCTCAGTCAGTTAAGCGTCCAACTTCGGCTCAGGTCATGATCTCACGGTTCGTGGGTTCAAGCCCCACGGCGGGCTCTGTGCTGACAGCTAGCTCAGAGCCTGGAGCCTGCTTCAGACTCTGTGTCTCCTTCTCTCTCTGACCCTCCCCTGCTCACGCTGTCTTTCTCATTCTCAAAAATAAAAAAAATTAAAAAAAGAATAGTCACGAGTGAGGTGCCTGGATGGCTTAGTCAGTTGAGTGCTGACTTCAGCTCAGGTCATGATCCCGGCTTGTGGGTTCGAACCTTGCATCAGGGTCTGTGCTGACAGCTCAGAGACTGGAGCCTGCTTTGGATTCTGTGTCTCCCTCTCTCTGTCCCTCCCCCACTCACACTCTCTCTCTCAAAAATAAACATTTTTTTTAAAGTAAAAAAAAAAAAAAAATCTCTAGTGGATCCCATTTCAGAATGTATCCAGGTTGGCACATTGTAAAAATAGCAGTCACAGTAAGCTTATGAAGTACAATTAATGGAAAGGAGCTCCCTATCTAATTAGTAAGAATTAAAAATTAAGAGTTGGTAGTACGTGGGGGAAAAAGTTCCAATGTAGCAGCTTCAGGTGGCTCTGTAACTCCAGAACTGGGTTAAGTCTTCACTAAAGAGCCTTAAATAAAACTGATCCTAAATTCACTTCAGAGACAAAAGGAATTATGACTAAAGACAACTAAACAAAGACTGTAAAGAGTAACTTACAGAAAGCGTGTCCCCGGAAAACAGAAACTACAGCTATTTAATTGTATTTCTATTTTATGACACTGGAACAGGCAAGTGCTAAGTAACTGATGTATCATAACACTGTCTATCAAATTTTTAAAAAGCAGTCATTAAATTTCTCTATAAATATATTTTACTTTTTAAGAAATAAAAAATCAGAAAAAAAAGTTTAAATTTTTCTCAACACAAAATTACAACATACTGTTGTTTTAGCATAACAAAATTCTCAATGTTTTTAAATAATATGAAGTATTTAAAATAAACTCTTTTTTAAAAAAATCTTTTTAACATTTACCTATTTTTGAGAGAGAGAGAGAGAGAGAGAGCGTGTGCGAGTGCGCGAGCAAGAGAAGAGCAGAGAGGGGGAGACACAGAATCTGAAGTAGACTCTAGGCTGTGAGCTGTCAGCACAGAGCATGTGGGGCTCAAACCCACAAACCATGAGATCATGATCTGAGCTGAAGTTGGACACTTAACCAACTGAGCCACCCAGGCACCCCTAAAATTAGCTTTCAAAAATATTGTGGATAAATAACCAAACACTGTATCATTTTCTCTTTCAGAATTTAAAATACTTATACAGTCAGAAGCTGAGGTTATATGTCAATTATAGATGGTAAGCATGTTCTTTCTCTACACCAAGTTCATCTTCCCCGTAAAGCCCACACATACTAACTGATCTGGCTCCTCATTCAACTCTGACAACTCCAGAATCCTCTTATGAAAATTAATTTATAACCAAATAAAGCTTTTCCCTGGCTTGATTTTGGCAGTCCTCAAAGCTGGTTCTCAGAAAAATGTAAGGATTGCAATCTAACATTATTAGCCAAAACGGTTTCTATGAAGTCTTTTGCTAAACTTCCCAGTCCCTTATCCCATCACTGACACATTTAGCTTACTAACCACTAATGGAGCAGATTAATCCAGCTACTGTCTAACTCTCCACTATTAACTATGTAGGCCTAGAGTGTTTAAGGGTAGAAGTATAAGAATGGGAATCATAGTGTGTGTGTGTGTGTGTGTGTGTGTGTGTGTGTGTGTGTGTGTATATAAAATATACCACATCTTCTTTACCCATTCATTCATTTATTAAAAGTACAGCACAGGGAAGGGAATATAGTCATTAATACTGTAATAATGTATGGTGACAGATGGGGACTATCATGGAGAGCACTGACTAAACAGATTTGTTGAATTATGATATTGTACACTTGAAACTAATATGACACTGTATGTCAACTATATGCTTCAATAATAAAAATTAAAAATAACTTTAGAAAGAATGGGAACCACAAAATCAGTCAGAATGCACCACCTCAATGCTCTCAAGGTGACTCAGCACCTTTGCATGTCTATGGTCTCTTATTTTCTAGTCATTCCAACTCCCCCTTTATTCACCAGCAGGAACCGCCTTACCTTCTTAAAGAGCATCACTGTCTCCTGAGGAAAAAATGGTAAGGAATCAAAGTTCCAGCCCTGACAACTGTATTTAGTGACTCCCACATACTTCTAGCTCTTCCCAGTCTATCTCAGAAGGAGTCTTCTAAGACCAATAGTTTCTTACCTCCTCTACAATTCTTCCTTCTTCAGGAAGCCTGCCTCCTCAATTACCAACCCCCACTCATGTTCCCATTATCATCATCTTCGTCCCTACTGTCTTTTGTCCTCAACTTATCTTTATCCTCAAGTCTATAACATCTTAAAAAATAAAAATTAAATTAAAGCTGGACTTCAACTTAGCATCTTCCTGTAGCTACTGCCATCTTTCTTCCCTTTCAGGCCTACTGTTTGAAGAGTGGCTATATTCCACAATTCTCCTCAACCAAGCTGCTTCCCTAAATACTGTGATTTGATTTGCAATCCTATCACTCCACTACAATTGCTTGTGGAGGTTTCTCGTAATTTCATAAATGCCAAATCCAAGAGTCACCTCTCAGTCTTTGTTTTATTCAACCTCTTTGTAGCATCCAGCAACACGAATCACTCTTTCTTTGCTGAAATACTAGAGCTCCCAAAAGAACTATCCTGAGCCTTATTCTCATTTTACATCCTTTTTCTATGGCTTCAACTATTACCCATAAGCTGAATATTCCCAAATTCATCCTGCTAGCCAAGATGAGCATGAACACTAGACCTATAATTCAGCTATGTGTCTACCTCCATACCACTTATACTTCAAATTCAACATTCAGAAACTAAATTCATAAATATCCTCACTTTGCCCATTGCCAAAATGGGGGATAATTATGCCTATGTCCATCTACTCTACAAAAAAAACCCTTAAGATATACGAAATAACAGGTTCAATTGCTTGATTAACATAAAATAATTTAAAATTCTTTCTGGGTGGATGGAGGAAGGGAAAGGCCACACACTATTTGCTCTAAACTCAGAATAATAGCATTCTAACGACTGTTTCTCTCAGCCTATGAAAACCCTTACTATCTAGAAATTAAAATTAACATGGTACTGGGATTGGTAATAAGTTTCAGAGCTTAAATTCTTCAGGATTCTCTAATGACCATAGAATGCTTAGAGTAAGGCCTTTTAAACTATGACTTATCATTTCTGTAACAGTAAGAGGACTAACTAAAAAAGTTCATAGGTGCATACCTACTATGTTCAAGATACAATGCTAATTACTATGGGAGACATAAAAAGAAGATTCAATTCCTGCCCTCAGTAAATTTGTTATCTAGTTGGAAAATACTAAATTCACACAAATACTATGACATAAAAGCCTGTATGTACAATCAGTGGTATTACAAAAATATTCCCACTTAAAATAATAAATAGTAAACTTTCAGAATTTCTTGGGAATAAAAAAAAAAAAGAACTGAAAAACAAACTATAGTTACCACTAATCCAAAAAGAAACCGGTCATTTTATAGTCTCAATTTTAATGTCACTAATAAAACACGTAAGTTTTATATATTACTGCAAAGAAAGTTGCAAAGAGCAAGACTTTTCCTACTTTAATAAACAATTACCTTTACTTGGAACTGATTTTTTCACTGAGGCTACATGATCTTCAGAAATTGCAAGCCGCCTCAAAACATCAGCCAAAGCTGCCTTTAGCACTGTGATTTCATCTTCTTGTTGTTGAACTCGTAACTCAAGAGCTGAGAGGCGATCTTGAACATCAGAGGTACTTGCAGCAGAAATACTATCATCTATAAAATGAAGAAGATTGTTTTTTTTAAAGCAAATTGTTCAAGAAAGAATCTAACAACAAATGAAAGGATCTGTTCAGAGGTGCCTGGGTGGCTCAGTTGGTTGAGTGTCTGACTCTTGATTTTAGCTCAGGTCATGATCTCACAGTCATGGGTATGAGTCCTGCAATGGGCTCTGTGCTGACAGCACAGAGCCTGCTTGGGATTCTCTCTCTCAAAATAAATAAACATAAAAAAAAAAAAAAAAAGATTCTTCCTTTCTCTGTCTTTCCTCACCCTTCCACACTTGACACTCACACCCATGCTCTTAAAAAAAAAAAAGAAGAAGAAGAAAGGAACAAAAACCAGATCATTCAGATAAAGGTGATAAAAATTGGAGGGGGGAAACAAACCCATCATTTTTACACAGATTAACTTGTAAATATTTTCATAGCTATTTGAATAAATTAAAAACAGCAAAAGTTAATATATCTGACATATAAATTAAAATTATGAAGAATTTCCCCATGATCAAATTTTCCCTGTTATTATACCACAACTTTAACTAGTTTTTCATCAAAATATTCTCTAAATAGATCACTTTGGAGACTTCTGGAAACTTGCAAGACAGTCAACTATCCAATGCATCCTTTTAAATTATAGCACCACTATCCTACTTCTCTATGAAAATAAAAAAAGGACCTTGTACAAATCACTTCAGTTTTGCTTTATGTATCAGACTGGGAACCACTCACCTTCTGCATCAATGATCAGAAAGCACTCTTTATTTCTGTCTTTACTACTATACTCTCAAATACCACAAGATTCTGCTATACATTCTTGTTCTTTCTTACCCGATGTCCCAACCTCTTGAAAAAGGAAGTGTGGTTTCTATAAAGCACATAACTAATACTTATTTGCCTTAGGCATGTAACAACAACAAAAAGGCTACTTAAATAAAGTTTAACTATAACACAGAATTACAAACTACTTCTAAAGCTATGTAACTGTAGAGCAAGTTGTTAACAGTTGGGTCAATCAGAATCCAAACGTAGAGAAAGATCGACTGCTGTTGGCTAATGTACTATAAGCAGGAAAATTCAGATTCTTACATAAGAATGGTTTGGACCACAGTTTTATAAACTGGGTCAGTTATTCACAAAATAAGGCACAGTGTGCCATTTTTCTCATACTGAGATAATGTGTCATCCATCTTCTTAAAAAGACAATTTAACTCAAAGTTTGAGTTTAAAAAATAACAGCCATTTAAAAAGCAAGGCTATCATCATTTTGTTAGGGAGCAGTAAACGATATTTATGTTTAAGATCACATATGCCAACCGACCTCTCAGGCATACATATGTACTCTCTTCTATTTGCTTTGTTTTTTTAATTTTTTAATGTTATTTCTTTTTGAGAGAGAGAGAGAAGGAGAGGGACAGAGAGAGAGAAGGAGACACAGAAATCAGATACAGGCTCCAGGCTCTGAGCTGTCAGCCAACATGAGGCTCGAACCCACGAACTGTGAGATCACACAACCTGAGTTGAAGTCAGACGCTTAACTGACTGAACCACTCAGATGCCCCATACTCTCTTCTGCTTTTCAATGTATTTCATGCATAACCTTTGAAGTACTAGTATGGAAGGAAAATTCACAATTTAGACTTTAACAACAATTAGTTATATCACCTTAGGCAAATTATTTTATTCTTTGAACCTCAACTTCTTCATCTTTAAACAGGTTATGAGGAAGGTGCCTACTACATGTTTGATATCCAATAAATGTTAGGATATAACAATAGTACAATAGTTGTAATTTGAGAACTCTGGGTGTATTTGTTACATAAAAGCAGTTCTATCAAACTCTGAGATGCTTAAGAAAAGGACTAATAAGAACAATTCAGTCTCTCACTTTCGAAATTTTAATATTTGAGGTCTCTTTCATTTCCACAGTGGCCCAGCTGAATTCTAGCTGACCCACACTCTCTGTAAGTGTGTTATGTTACACCACTATTATTTTTGTCTGCCCAGATGCTTTCTTATTTTCCTTCTTCTGGATGGAAGAAGAGAACCTCTTCTCCTTTGTGGAACTCTACCATTTTCTGAAGTTCCATTAGGGCTATTAACCAATGTGCCTCATTCTCCCCTCTACCACCCTGCACTATTAACAGGCTGAACCATACAAAATGGCCTTTTAACTTGGTAAAAAATATTAACTATTGGCAATTTAATATGGTATAATCTACTATTACCTACAGGAGTGGTTGTGAGATATGGGCTAGGCCAAAGGGAATCCTCCCACTTCCCAGAGGCGGAGCTGTAACCCATCCTTCTTCCTGGTTTGCAAACTAAAGACACAGACCTAGGGCCATTAGTGACAGAGTCTTAACTAACTGCTCTGAGATCCAATTCTAGTCTCTGAAGCCCAAGACCTTCAATTCTCAGAGTTGCTCTAATATTCCTCCTAGCTAATTATATCTCCTAATAAATTCCCTTTTTGCAAGCCATTTCTTATAAGCCAAAGATCCTATGAAGTCAATAAATTATATGGACATGCCATTCTACACTGTGCTCAATTTATGAAGGATGAGTTATATAATTAAATTGCAATCACAAATAACATATTTATCTGATTTTTAGAAATACATAATCAATTATTTTGGGAAGGCAGCAGAGCCTGGTGGAAAGATTATCAGACTATAATGCCAAGGTTATAATTCTGGCTTTTACTACTGACCTGGTACTAGTTTTTACTTTTGTCAAGTCACTTAACTTTTCTCAACTTTTTTTTCCTTAGTGACTGAGGTTTTTATTATGTGAAACTTGTATAGTTAAATGAAAGGTGGTTCAGCTTGTAAAAATCCTACCATGACCTGCTAGGTACTGTGATAAGACACAAGGACAATTTTTCAAAGGGCATAACAAATATAAGGTTAACTATTAACAATATCCTGTACAATTTATATTGTACCTTTCATATTATTGCCTTATCCCCCTCCTCACACTATCTTTATTTTCTATTTGAGGAAATATCATGAGAAGTTAAATAGCCTTGCCCAAGGTCACCAAATCAGTCTTGATACCCAAGTCTCAAACACAGGACTCTTCACTCACAATTTAAGTGCTCTCTATTTCATGCTGCATTCTTACAATAATCACAGGAGGACCAAAAAATATACTTTTTTCACAAAGCTACTAAAGGATTATAACTACTGAGTGACATAATCAGGTTTTTGTTTTAAAAAGGTCATTTTGGGGGTGTCTGGGTGGCTCAGTCAGGTAAGCATCCAACTCTGGATTTTAGCTCAGGTCATGATTTCATGGTTCGTAAGTTCAAGTCCCACATCAGGCTCTATGTTGCCAGTGCAAAGCCTGCTTGAGATTCTCCCTCTCCCCTGCTTGCACTCTATCTCTATCTCAAAACATTTATATGGGGAGGTAGAAGGAGGGAGGTCATTTTGGCTGCTGTGTGAGAACAGGCTGGAATAGAATAAGAGTAAATGTAAAACCAGGCAGGAGACTATTGTAACCCATGTGAAAGGTGATGGTGGCCTAAGTTAGGGTTAAGGTGTCATGTGTCTCAATTTGTCCAACATAAATATGTCTGTCTTAGTATAAAGATTATGACAATGCTCCTTCTTGCACTCTCAAATTTCCCCCTTTGGATGATCAAATACAGGGTCAGCAGCAAGTGGAGACAAAGGAGCATAGCAGGTGATATCCACAGTTCCTTATAGCTCCCAAATCCCAAAACCCCTTCCTGTCTAAAATTTTGGCTCTTCACCTTTTCAGGGACAAGAATCTCTTAGGGAATCCAACAAAAGCTGTAGGAGAATAGTGCATGAACTCTGGTGTCACAGGGCTTGAGTAAATCTGTTTGCTACTTGCCAGCTCTGAGACTGGTTTCCTCACATGTAATTTTTCATGCTACTTAGTATGTATCTCAGCCTTGAGGCTGTTAGATAAAATAATGCACAGTACTGCCATAGAGTGAGGGTTCAGTAAGATTCTATCCTGCATAGTGATGTTCTTTAGTACACTGTTTACTACTGCCACAAAATTGGAAATGAGGTAAAGTCCATGGATAGGGGTAATAAGCTATGATACGTTTACATCATAGAAAATTAAAAGCAACGAGGTAGGTATATAAACTAAAAATTTAAGGGGTGCCTGAGTGGCTCAGTCGGTTAAGCATCTGACTTCGGCTCAGGTCATGATCTCGAGGTTCGTGGGTTCGAGCCCTGTGTTGGGCTCTGTGCTGACAGCTCAGAGCCTGGAGCCTGTTTCAGATTCTGTGTCTCCCTCTCTCTCTGACCCTCCTCTCCTCATGCTGTCTCTCTCTCTCTCTCTCTCTCTCTCTCAGAAATAAATAAAACATTTTTAAAAAATTAAAACTTTGAAAGATCTACTAGACGACTTAAGTCAAATAAGGAAACTGCAAAACAATATGTATTGAATAACTTATTAAAATACACACATGCACCAAACATACTGGTAAAAAATATAAAGCTTCAGGGGCGCGTGGATGGCTCAGTCTGTTAAGCATCTGACTTTGGCTCAGGTCATGATCCTGTGGTTTGTGAGTTCAAGTCCCATGTCAGGCTCTCTGGTGAGTGAGCCTGGAGTCTGCTTCAGATTCTCTGTCTCCCTCTCTCTCTGACCCTTCCTGCTCACACTCTGTCTCTCTCTCAGAAATTATAAATAAACATTAAAAAAATTAAAAATAAATAAAAATAAGGCTTCATATTTATATATGTATATATTGTACACATAGAAAAAAGTCTAGAAGGATACACATCAAATTGGTGACTGGGTTATTTCTGACTAGGAGAGTGAGACTGGAAAGAGAGGAGTAAAAAGTAATTTTTGCTTTTCAGTGTATTTCTATATTATCTGAAATTTACCATAAAAATTTATGTTACTTAATCTTTTTAAGTTTATTTATTTTGAGGCAGGAAGGGTTGTTGGTCTTTAAAACAGCCTCTTTTCTAGCCTTCATAATCAATGAGTGTACATTTATGT